CATTGATGTTCCTGCAATAGTCAAGATCTCTTTTTTTTTTTTTTTTTTATGGATGCATAGCATTCCATGGTATATATATACCACATTAAAAAAAATCCAGGTTCCATTGATTGGCATTTAGGTTGAATCTATGTCTTTTCTATAGCAAATAATGCTGCAATGAAAATTTGTGTGCATGTGTCTTTAGGGTAGAATGGTTTATATTCCTCTGGGTATATAACCAGTAATGAGATTGCTGGGTCAAATGGTAGTTCTGTTTTTAGCTCTTTGAGGAATTGTCACACTGCTTTCCACAATTGTTGAACTAATTGACACTGCCACAAACAGTGTACAAGCATTCCATTTTCTCTGCAACTTTGCCAGCATGTTATCTTTTTTTTTTTTATACTAGCCATTCTGATTGGCGTGAGATGGTGTCTTGTTGTGGTTTTGACTTATATTTCTCTAATGATCAGTGATATTGAACTTTTTCATGTGCTCTTGGCCACATGTATAACTTCTTTTAAAAAGTGTCTCTCCATGTCCTTTGCCCACATTTTAATGTTTTTTTTTTTTTTGTAAATTTATTTAAGTTTCGTATAGATGCTGGATATCAGACCTTTGTCAGATGCATAGTTTCTAAATATTTTCTCTCATTTCTTAGGTTGCCTGTTCACTCTGTTGATAGTTTCTTTTGCTGGAAGTGTGAGTTTTAGATTCAGAAATATGTGAGTCTGAATCCTGGTTCCACCTTTAATGGACTTTGAGATAAGGGACAATTTCATTGATATTTTGGGATAGAGGGATAATAGTAACTGATTAAAGGGTCATTGTGAGCATTATATGAGGTGCAAACGTATAGGTCCCCAGGGCATAGCAGGTTTTTTCCTCTTCATTTTCATCTTCATCTTAAGATGTATATTCTCTCATAAAACAAGGTCACATCAATTATAACTTGAGGTGTGCAATCTAAGTCTAGCTCCTAAAACTAAAGTCTGTTAGATTTCACACTGATGATGCTTTTTCTTTTATGTACAGAATAAAGACAAGATGAGACCAAATATTCATCCCCCTACTTGTCTCTTCCTACCAGTCTTCCCTCCTTTAAGAACATGTATAAATTCCAGGCCTCCTGAAAACCTCCTCAAAGACATAACAAGCCATAGAGTGTTTTTATAACTTGTGTTTTTCCAGGGTTTGCCCTCAAGCTCTGGTCCAATAAACCTCAATTGATTCAGAAACTTGAATCAGGCACTCAATTTAGTTAACATTTTGCCAACCATGAAGGGGTCCTCTTAATGGAGTTTACAAACTTTGACCTGCAGGGCTTCTTCTATTGTTCATGCTAAGTACCATCTATAGAGCTTTAGTTCTGAACAATTGTGTGACTTTCTGAGAATTGGATCCTACTTTTTCTTGAGGTCCCTGCTTTCTCTGATTTTTTTTTTTTGTTTGAGATCTGAGTTTTGTTTTTTCATGGAACTCCTCTCCTCATGGGGCTTTGCTCACTTCCTAAAAGGAACATGAGTTTCCTGTTCCTGTGACAATGGAGAGCAGACTACAGATTGGCCTGCTCAACTAAGGAGCTGGTTTGGGGTTTTGTTTTAGAATTTGGTAGCTGCAGGATAAGGCTTATTACGACTTCATTGTAACCTCTCCTTATGCTTACAGTGTTCAACAGTTTGTAAATAGTGCAATTGCTATTTGTGGTTTTTGGTTTTAATCATTCTTCTTTTGGATTTGACCAATTCTTCACCCTGTCTAATGTCCAAAACCCTTTCCCTTGGTCAAATCCAAATCTAACAGGAGCTCTACATTATGGTGAAGCAGGCCTTTAAATTGGCTAAAGTTCTGTAACTGCAGAACATCCAATTCCACCTCTAGAAACACCTGTTAGTTGAAGAAAATAAGAATATTTGTAACCCACGATATATTGCTTTGATAAATTTTGACGTGTCTGTCAGAGGGCCAGCAAATAGAAGTGGCCCTGCAGAGTTACCTTTTGTGGAAAAAAATCTACATCATAGAGAATCATTAGTAATTCAGGCATGTCTTCCCTTATCTGGATCTGAGAGAAATGGACTGAATCTGATACTTTAAAGATAAAAAAAATTAGCATTGATTTTTCTCTGAGGGCTGCTACCTGCAAGGTTTCATTGACACAAGACCAGCTTTGCACACTCAACTTCCTTTCTTTCTCCCTTGACCTGTATTACCACTGAAACCTGATTTACTGCCATAACTTCATTTTGGACATGCAGAAATGCAGAAAAATAATCAGCCAGTTAAAGGGTAAAAATGTATTAGTCTCAAGTTTCCTGGCTTCTCTCTGTGCATTCTTTCCAGTTGGAGGATAAAAATCACTGTTTCCTTCACCAAAATTTGATCAATGGGAGAAGATTTGTGTTGGACTAGTCTTGGTGTATTAATTCTGGTGTACCTTTTAGCGATGTTGAGGTATGAATATTTTGATTGCTTAATCTATTTCCTCCCAGGAATAGTCTTTTCCTTTATCTCTTTCTTTCAGTGTTGTTCATAAAGGGAGGTACTGGATAAACTTTTCTCTCATCTTGTCATATGTCCTTGAGGGCTTGATTTGTGACCGAGTCAGAGCACTCACTCTTGGTCTCCACCATCAGGAGGAGGAATCATTTTTGAGTCACATTAGGTGACCAGCCTTAACATGGCTGAGAACCTGAGGGTTTTTTATTTTTTCTTTTGTTTTCCAAATGTGTTAAGCTCCCAGGAGGGCTTGTCATAAGAAGTCCCATCCATCATGGCCTTTTGTCAACCCAAGTCTTATTGCTTGGATAGGGCAGTGCAAAAAGAGCCTTTTGCTTGCCTAAGCCGATTCCTGAGAGTACATATTTTATTTTGTTGAGGTGGGGGACAAGATCATTGGGATTGGTTTTAAAATTTGTATCTTTTTTTAAGATTGCACTTTTAAGTTCTGGGATACATGCGCAGAACCTGCAGGTTTGTTACATATGTATACAAGTGCCATTGTGTTTTGCTGCACCCATTAGCCCATCATCTACATTAGGTATTTCTCCTAAAGCTATCCCTCCCCTAGCCCCCCACCCCTCAACAGGCCCCAGTGTATGATGTTCCTCTCGTTGTGTCCACATGTTCTCATTGTTCATCTCCCACTTATGAGTGAGAACATGCGGTGTTTGATTTTCTGTTTCTGTATTAGTTTGCTGAGAATGATGGCTTCCAGCTTCATTCATGTCTCTGCAAAGGACATGAACTCGTCATTTATTATGGCTGCATCAAATTCCATGGTGTATATGTACCACGTTTCCATTATTCAGTCTATCGTTGATAGGCAGTTCGGTTGGTTCCAATTCATTGCTGTTGTGAAGAGTGTCACAATAAACATATGTGTGCATGTGTCTTTATAGTAGAATGATCTTTAATCTTTTGGATATATACCCAGTAATAGGATTACTGGGTCAAATGGTATTTCTTCTTCTAGATCCTTGAGGAATCGCCACACTGTCTTCCACAATGGTTGAACTAATTTACACTCCCACCAGCAGTGTAAAAGCATTCCTATTTCTCCATATCCTCTCCTGCATCTGTTGTTTCCTGACCTTTTAATGATCACCACTCTAACTGATGTGAAATGGTATCTCATTGTGGTTTTGATTTGCATGTCTCTAATGACCAGTGATGATGACGTTTTTTTCATATGTTTGTTGGTCACATAAACGTCTTATTTTGAGAAGTGTCTGTTCATCTGCTTCGCCCACTTTTTGATGGGGTTTTTTTTTTCTTGTAAATTCATTTAAGTTTCTTGTAGATTCTGGATATTAACCTTTTGTCAGATGTGTAGATTAAACCTTGCAAGCTGAAACTAGACGACTTATGTAAACCTCTGGAGAAATCATAGCAATTTATACATAAACAACCTTTGTGCCTGCTGATGACTAGACTACACAAAAGGTACACATGAACACTGGGTTCAGACTGCAATTCAGAAAATTGTGTCAGATTGCCATTGCAATTGGAAGATGCTTCAGAAACTCTAGGAAACCTAGTCTATAGACTGCTCTAGATATTACAGGTGAGTCAACATACAACTGAGAGTTAGAGCGATGTTTGCCAAACAAATTGCTCTAATTGAAGCAGCAGTTGTGTGACTTTAATAAGGTTCCAAGACTATACTGTCCCTTTGTTACTGTGACTTCCCTTTCCCTTTTTCTGATTTGTCTTCATCCCTTATCCATAAGACATGATTTCTTAAGAATGAGCCTTCCTAGTCATGTAGGATCAGATGAAACGTACAGCCTCAGAGGTCTTCTACAATGATTTCTCTGAGAACTTTTGAAGAATTGTGGCACCAGGTGTGCTTGCACAGGCCTGTAATCCCAGCCTGAGAGGCCAAGGCAGGAAGACCAATTGAAACCAGGAGTTTAAGACCAGCCTAAGCAACAAAAGGAAAACAAATCCTTACAAAACAAAATAAATCAAATTAGCCAGGTGCAGTGGTGCATGCCTATAATCTCAGACACTTTGGAGGCTAAAGTGGGAGGACCGCTTCAGTCCAGGAGTTCAAGGCTGCAGTGAGTACACTCTAGGCTAGGTAACAGCAAGATTGTATCTCTAAAAAAAAAAAAAAAAAAAAAAAAAGAAGAGGGAGGGAAAAAAGAATGGGTAAACAGGACAGTCAAAGATCTCAGGCATCTCTGGATGATTGCCTGAACAAATTGTTTTTTCTTGGCTTCAAACCTTTCAAGATGTATATTTCTTTGTAAAAGAAAGACATCCTGATTGTAACTTTAGGTGAACAATCAAAATCTAGCCCTTAAACTGAAGTATTTTAACTCTCATTCTGAAAACATTTATTTTTTGAGGCACAGAAGAAAGATAATATCAGATCAATTGTTTTGCTGCCCACTCCATCTCTTCCTACCTGCCTTCTCTCTTTTAATCAAATGTATAAATACTAAACCTCCTGCAACCTCTTCAGAGAGAACACAAGCCACTGAGGTTTTTTGAAACTCATGTTTTCCCAGGGTGCAGCGTCAAACTCTGACTCAACAAAACTCTATTGTTCAAGACCCTTGCCTCAGTCAGTCATTCTGGATAACCACCATGAGTCCTGGAAAGCCCTTCAGTAATCTGTTGCCTGCCTACTTGATGTCTACCTAGGTGAGTCAGGTGAGTCTGGTCTTCATGAGTCAAACTCTCTTCTTCCATTTCTGCCTTTCCCAACCCTACCACTCAATGCTGTGTGCTCTGATCTGACCCCAGCTCCCAGGTTGTTTGTATTGGTCTAAGAAAGCAAGACCAGGAAGGGCAGGTTGAAAAGGAAGTAAGAGGTCAACAGCCATGGAACGTGGCAAGTGGGGCTGTCATCGCTCAAAGCCACACTCCCTGGGTGCATTTTATGAATTCTTCTGGATTTGGAATCCTTTCCCTGTGTGTCTATCTAGAAACTCACCCTCCTCCTACTTTCTTCTCTTTACATTTTCTGTTTCTAGTGCACTTGTTTATGTCCAGAGAATGGCCATACAAATAGTTGACAATAGAATATAAAATGGCCTTTTGTGAGAGTTGGTACCGGGCCTTTCTTTTTTCCAAAAAAGATTGAGGTTTCTAAAAGCTAGCTTTTATGCAGGGCTGTGCAGTTGTGAGTGTAGTGTTAGGGAACAGGTGCATAAGTGAAGGATGAGACAGAAAACAAAACGCTGGCTGTCAAATCCTAAAAGTAAATGGGACAAAAATCATTTTTGAAGGTAGATGTCACTCAGGAGATCTTGTAAATCTTAGAGTGTCCTCTTACCAGATGAAGTGGAGGATGAGGTTAAATTATGGAGTTAGGTGACAGTGGGCACATATTTCTCTGTCACAGTTTTTTGTTTTTTTTTTTTAATCTGTAAAAATGGGGACGATGGCACGTAGGATTTTTTTGTCAGGACTGTAGCTACCTGAAAAGCTCTTAGGATAGTGCCTGGTGCATAGTGAGTGCTGCATCAGTGTGTGAGCTATTATAATTATGGGAATAGGCAAAAGTACCACCATGGCCATCCAGAGTGTGGAGATACTTTCCAGTCAGGCAGGCCAGCTGGAGATAAAGCTGGTTAGTGGGGAAGCTTAATTTCCAGGAGTAGAAGAATGTAGGAGGAGTAACTCATGCACAACATTCTGTAAACTTTCCTTTACCCAACAGTAGGAATGCTCAGAGTGGGTGTGGCTTCCGTGACAATCATTATCTCCTGGGAATCTAAGAATGTGTATTAGAGTTGAATGACTTGGATGTAAACCAAACCCAGAAATGGGCTTCAGAGCTGCCTAGCAGATAGCAATCATCTTGAAAAAGAAAACATTCATCTTGCTAAAGGAATACCTTCTTTCGGCCCAGACCATTATTTTTGTTTTTGTACTATCCTAATTTTTAAGGTGTAAGGAGAAAGACTGAAGAATAAAATAATGAAGTGCATGTATGAAATAACAGGTTGAATTGAGACTGGTATGTGTAAGTTAAGAGAAATCGTGTGTACATTTTGTACGAACATAAAAAGGATTTCTTGTTGCAAGCAGACCTCTCCATAAAAACCATGCTCATTGCCTTGAGTGGATAGCAGACTCTATCACAAGAACACGCCATCAAAGTCATGAGAGAATGAGTAGTGTGGCTTCTTTAATTAGCAGTTTAGACTGAGAAAGTTACTGAAGAGAAAGGAGTTGAAGAAGAAGATGGTTGAGGGCAAGAAAAATGGGATGGTGAAAGGAAAGGACTAAAAGGAATGTTTACGGAGGGATTATCAGGTACCAGGCTCTGTGACTAATGTCTTACACATGATAATTTACTCTTCCACTGTCATTTTCTGATGTAGTAAGAGTCAGCCTTACACTGCAGATGAGGAAAGAGCCTGAGGGTGGTCAAATGAGGGGCCTAGGGTCCTCCTGCCACTTCATAGCAGAGCTAGTATGTTTCACTGTGGTTTGTGCAGACAGAAAAGTGAGACATGGAAGGAAGGCAAAACGTATTTTTGTTGCGGATAATGTTTATGAAAGTGACCTGTATGAGACAGAATAATGGCCTCTTAAAAATGTCCACATCCGGGCAGGGTGCGGTGGCTTTCACCTGTAATCCCAGCACTTTGGGAAGATTAGATGGGCAAATCATGAGGTCAGGAATTCGAGGCCAACCTTGTCAACATGGTGAAACCCTGTTTCTACTAAAAATGCAAAAATTAGCTGGGCATGGTGGCGGGCACCTGTAATCTCAGCTACTTGGGAGGCTGAGGCAGGACAATCATTTGAACCTGGGAAGTGGAGGTTACAGTGAGCTGAGATCACCCCACTGCACAACAGCTGGGGCAACATGAGTGAAACTCTGTTTCAAAAAAAAAAAAAAAAATCCACATGCTAAGACTTGGAACACACGCATTTATTTTCTTGGAAAAAGCACTGTTCAACGGTGATGCAGTTGATTATCTTCAGATGGAAAGCTTATTCTGGATTATCTGGGTAGCACCCAGTGTCATCATAAAGGTCCTTGTAAGTGAAAGACAGAGGCAGGAAGGTCAGGGTGAGAATGATACAGCCTGAGAGACTCCACTGGCCATTGCTTGCTGTGAACATGTGTGACAAGACAAAATTACAACTAATTTAGTTATATATGGAATTCGCTTTTATTTGTCAATTATGATTTGGGACAGTTCTCCCTCTACAGATACAGTGATGACTCCCCCTGGGCAATACAATAACATAACAGTGGGTTTTGTCAAATGCGGATCAGTAAACAAAGCCATAGAAATAAATTGATTGGTTAACATAAGAGTACTTCAGGTCACTTTTTTTGGTAAATGTTAAAGCAGAGGGGACTTCCTGATTATGCTCACTCAGGTAGACTGGAATCTTTTTTACAGAAAAATATGATCTGTTTTGAGAACAATCTACTTCCTTAAATTTTCAGAGGCAGTGTGTAATATCTAGCATGTGTGGTTCTATTTTGGAGTGTCTGTACTCTCACTTAGGTGAGAATATGATGAAAACTTAAAGAATTATCATTAGTCTCAAAAACCGTAATTTTGGGCTTCCATCACTTCTTTTCTTTTTAATTTTCTTTGGCTTTTTAAATTTTTTTTTATATTTTATGTTCTAGGGTACATGTGCACAACGTGCAGGTTTGTTACATATGTACACGTGTGCCATGTTGGTGTGCTGCATCCGTTAACTCGTCATTTATATTAGGTATATCTACTAATGCTATCCCTTCCCCTCCACCCACCCCACAACAGACCCCAGTGTGTGATGATCCCCATCATGTGTCCAAGTGTTCTCATTGTTCAATTCCCACCTATGAGTAAGAACATGTGGTATTTGGTTTTCTATTCTTATGATAGTTTGCTGAGAATGATGGTTTCCAACTGCATCCATGTCCCTACAAAGGACAAGAACTCATGCTGTTTTAAGGCTGCATAGTATTCCATGGTGTATATGTGCCACATTTTCTTAATCCAGTCTGTCATTGATAGACATTTGGGTGGGTTCCAAGTCTTTGCTATTGTGAATACTGCCGCAATAAACATATGTGTGCGTGTGTCTTTGTAGCAGCATGATTTATAATCCTTTGGGATTATAAATATGTGTGTCTCTGCACATCAGCTAGGTCTTCTGAATACAGCATGCCGATGGGTCTTGACGTACAGATGGGGTTTTGGTGTGGATGTCCTTTTTGTTTTTGTTAGTTTCCCTTCTAACAGTCAGGATCCTCAGCTGCAGTTCTGTTGGAATTTGTGTGAGGTCCACTTCAGACCCTTTTTGCCTGGGTATCAGCAGCGGAAGCTACAGAAGAGTGAATATTGCTGAACAGCCAATGTTGCTGTCTGATCATTCCTCTGGAAGCTTCATCTCAGAGGTGTATCCGGCCATGTGAGGTGTGGGGTGTTAGTCTGACCCTAGTGGAGATGTCTCCCAATTAGGCTACTCAGGAGTCAGGGACCCACTTGAGCAGGCAGTCTGTCCGTTCTCAGATCCCAAACTCCATATTGGGAGAACCACTACTCTCTTCAAAGCTGTCAGACAGGGACGTTTACATCTGCAGAGGTATATGCTGCCTTTTGTTTGACTATGCCCTGTCCCCAGAGGTGGAGTCTACAGAGGCACGCAGGCCTCACTGAGCTGCAGTGGGCTCTAACAAATTCAAGCTTCCTGGCCACTTTGTTTACCTACTTAAACCTCAGCAATGGCAGGTGCCCCTACCCCAGCCTTGCTGCCACCTTGCAGTTAGATCTCAGACTGCTGTGCTAGCAATGAGGGAGCCTCCATGGGCATGGGACCCTCCACGCCAGGTGCGGGATATGATCTCCTGGTGTGCCATTTACTAAGGCCCTTGGTAAAGTACAGTACTAGGATGGGAGTGACCTGATTTTCCAGGTGTTGTGTGTCACAATTTCCCTTGGCTAGGAAAGGGAATTCCTTTCCTCCTTGTACTTCCCATGTGAGGCGATGCCTCACCATGGTTCCACTCTCATTTGTTGGGCTGCACCTACTATCCTGCACCCACTGTCCAAGATTCCCCAGTGAGATGAACCTGGTACCACTGCTGGAAATGCAGAAATCATCCATCTTCTGTGTTGCTGACGCTGGGATCTGGAGGCTGGTGCCGTTCCTATTTGGCCATGTTGGCGCCACACCCCCCCCCCCCACTTTTCTTTTTTTTTAATGGCATCTCACTCTGTGGCACAAGCTGCATTGCAGTGGCACGATCTTGGCTCACTGCAGCCTCTGTCTTCCAGGTTCAAGTGATTCTCCCACCTTAGCATCCAAAGTAGCTGGGATTATATTGTTAGATCTGGCCAGCAGCCCACAATGCAACAGGCCTCTTTCTTTGTTCCCAGGCGGATTGGCAGGTCAAGAAATAAAACATGCACACATGATAGTGAAAGCTGGGTCCAGGGGGGTCATTGCTTTCTGGTCCTGTGATGCCACCAATACACTGGACATGCCAGCATTTATTATTAAATTTAGTGAGGTCAGGGGTAGGTTAGTGAGGGAGTTAGGGTCGTTTGATTATGAGGTGAGATGGTCACATGGGGATGAAGTAATTCTTTAACATAACATCGGTATGCAGAAGTACAGTATACAGAGATGAGAATTTACAACATAGTGTGGGCATCAGCAATTTCTAATACAGCTGTAAAACAGAA